TGTGCTTGTTAATTAGCTTCAAATCACCTGCTGGCTGACATTTGCCATGAAATAAGCTGTTTTTCAGATTCACATTCTAGCTACTTTATTGTTCCATGCCAGTTCCTTGAAATCCCCCAGAGTCTATTTGATTCCTTTCAGCTACAAAAAAAAAATCTATTTATAAACTTTAAAGATACAATTTACACCATTAAACCCAAAGAAATTCACAGTTAAGAGTGGAAACTTGAACTGCATTTTTGGCTTTATCCTGCTAAGCCGTGAAAGAAAAACAGATTTTTAAAAAATCACATAAGCAGAAATTATCTAATATGCTGACCAGTTTTATTAATTCACATCTAGTAACTTTTGATTACACCTACATTACTCAACTTATTTTTCTACCACCATTTCACAGCCTATGGCCTCTCAGTTCACAGAAGAGCCTACAGAAAACTGATGACGGGAAAACTGTATGCTCCTAGCACACCACGCATGTGAGGTTTCCAAATGTGGAAGACGGCACTAGACCCACTGTATCAAAACAAAATTCATCATCTACATGAAGATCTTGCATTGCTGTAATGGCTAACAGTTGTTAGTCTACTACCTCTCAGCTACAGCTTCCTCTTTGTCAGTCTTATGGCAGTCATTCCAAAGCAATACTAAAGGAATACTCTCAGGATAGCGAAGACTTACTGTGCTTCAGATAGAAGAGTGAGAATTTAGGAACTGTGGGGCTGTGTGCTTACGCAAGGCCAAGGCATTGATTCCGCCAATGGCTAGTAACAAACGTCTAAAAAAGGCTACAAGCAGCACTACACGTACAGAAGCAATGGGACACACATTCCTGCTATGCAAAGCGCCCTGCAAATAAGATTAAATATCTGTCTTTTGTCAATCTACTGTCACAGAGTCCTGGAATACATCAGGACTTTTTCCAGAGCTGTATCAATTTTGCATATGCAAAGGGCTTTTCACTTCAGTTCCCTCAGACCACAGAAGCACAGCAAACTCAAGTGTTATAATGCACACACACAATACTCTTTGTGCTGTAAATACGTGTAGAGACAGCAACGAAGGAAAACAGACCTATTCCAGTTTTTCACCTTTCTTAGAAGAACAGTCTCACAGTCCACATAATAGTAAGTCAACAGACCATCTTAATATTTTAAGTACAAACAAAAAAAAACACCACAAATGGCAGCCTCATGTTAGAAGTCTTAAATTCACTTCAAAGATGTCCAGCAGAACAATTTGTGAGTTTGCATCCCATGGAAGGGCGAATACCACTTAATACATTGAGGGTCAGTGAGGTAAGAAACACAGACACATTCACCACTGGAATGGTTTCCTGAGATCAGCACCTTTTCATGGGAGTAGAAATACTTTGGATGTTCAGATTTAATGGACAACACTGAAACTAGCAATTAGAGAGACTTTGCACAGAAAAATCCTTGCAAACAAGTTTTGATGCCAAGTAAATGTAGAAAACTTCCTCAGTAGCTGCTGTAGTTTTAGTAGCTGCTTTTAAAGCTAACTCAAGGTAAAAGGCCCAATCCAAGGTAGACATTTCTACATTTCAAGGTAGAAGTCATTAGCTTCAGAAGTTGGAACTACAGAAGGGCATCACTATTATAATAGAAGAAGGGAAAAAAAAAAAAAATGTTCTCCAAACCCCACAGAATTTTACAGAAGAAAATCCTGGGTTATTTTTTAGGAAGATTGGAATCAATTATTTTGCTACACAAAGCACTAGAGCTTCCTCAAGAAGACCTTGATACTTTTGCAAAGTTCAGGGGATCTCTTTTTTATTTTAAAAAGATGAAATCTTGATATTATCAACAGGAGATGAGATTTCATGCAATGGCTTTTAAGCAGCACTACCTCTTTAAATGAGTAAAGTTCCAAAGATTTCTGTTTAAAGCATTCATATCTGAAGGACCAAGTTCTGCCCCTTTTAAGATACACATGCGCATCTCAAATTCCCCCCGGAATTTTCTTTTCTACGGCCTGTTTGGTACATTTTACTTGGTCTGCAGACATACCAGCAGTAAAATTAATAGCTATGGATATTCCCTCCCAGCAGGAAGAGAGTCCACCTCCACAAAGTTTATACAGTCACATATGTTATTTAGTAAAACTGCTATTTAGTACCTGGAAATAAGAAACTATTCATCCTGAGCTATAAAGAAATTTAATATTTAAATCTCCTGAGTATAAAAGAAAAAAAGGCCCTTTTGAGTTCTGTCATCCTCCACCACCTATTACAAACCAATGCAGAAAACAAGAGAACAGATTTGGCCCTCAGCATGACGCACAATGAGAAATAGTTTTGTTCATAATATATACATTTAGGAATCAAGGGAGGACTTACTGAGGAAATTCATGATTTAAAAGTGCCAGGATCATAAAGCGATGAACAGTTTTAACAATTTTTCTATTCAAATATCTTTAGGGTCAAATATAAATGCTGGAGTACGTGTTCATATATATGTATATGTTCTTTATATTCATAAACTACACCTACAGATTCAAAACTCAGAAAACATGAACAAAAGGTGGGAAGTAACCAGAGAGGCACAAGGAGAGCATCGCCCACGAAATCATCATCAGGGCTCTGGGTAACCGCTAGCTCCCGTAGCCTGGGTCACCCGATACCCCAGGGCTCGGCAACAAGGCCCCTAGGCCAGGCCTGTCTCCTGCCCTCCGCTCACACTTCTGGAGTGTGTCTAACTCTTAGCAGTCTTCGGGATGCTCAGATGCTCGAGTGAAACTGAACGAAGATGGTTCTGTTGCCAGTCTCAGGAAACGCTCTTGCCCATAATCTTATCCTTTTCTGCCTACAGTGTAACACTGGCAGCACTGCAAAAGTCACATCCTCAGGCCCAATATTCACTGCCACAAGCGAAGAATGCAAGTTATTTTTGTTACTGACATCCCTGAATGCACCCCCAAGGGAAGCCGTTTGACATGTTGTCTTTGCTTCCAGGCATGAAGGTATTTTGAGTCCTTTTCTGAACAACTTTCTCTGCAATTTCAGAAAAACACTGGTACAAGTTGGAACTTACATACTCCTTTAAGGTAGGCAACATCTTCCTCTAGGTAACAAAAATGGTTTCAATGTCAAGTTTAATGAAAAATTAATAATTATTATACCAAATAAACAAAAGCAGCAGTCCATTAAGAAAGCAAATATAAATGAACTAACAAGTTCAGCAAAGCTCATAGAGACAGATGCTACTTGTCTGTAGCTACTGCATTGAGACACTTAGCTTTTTTAAATAAGAAACATGTCCACACTTCTAAACAGATACTTTTACATCCTTTCTAAGGTCGCATGCACAGGTCCTGCAGTACCTTTATAGTATTCTAGATAATTAGACAATAAATGGGTTTATTAGGTTTGGAAAGACCAAGTCTTTCATATCCACTACTTATTGCTGAAAAAGCCTCACTTCCAATGGGGATTATTCTCTGGCAACGTGCCCCTATTGAAGTTAGAGGACATTCTCACATCGATTCAAGCTGTGACCTGGAACACAGATCTCTTCATAACTGTGCTAAGAACATCCTACGAGAACACGAAAGCCAGTATAGATTGTGTAGTAATAAAACATTTGAGCATAATAGTAGAAGAAAAGCAACTACATTTTCCAGTGCCAGAGTAACACCAATAATCCCAAGTTATTCAGCTACACTAGCAGGAGTTCAGTGGTGCAGCTCACGTATATCGGGAAGCCTCAGACGCACTCAAAGCATCCATGGGTTGCAATTTTTTTTTATTCTGGGACTAAATTATGCCAGTAGAAGTCAGATATGTGGCCTCAGCTGTAAACATGGATTTGATTTCAAATCTGTGAGCAGCCCTTTTGAAGTTAAGAGGATAACTTGTATGCATAAAAAAGGAACACAGAGGTCTTTGCAAAAATCAAGACCTTGGAATGTAATTACATTTTATACTGATTTTTTTCTTTCATGTGGGACACTTTTTAAGCATACTGACCTAAAAGAGCTGTCAACTTTGATATTTAAACATTCTAGTTATTATATATTGTCATTAGCACTGTATAGTAACAATAATACTTAAAATAAAAGATTGTTCCTTTCAAAAGAAAAAAACCAACAAAAATCATACCCCCAAAATATAGCCATAATTGTATTTTATGCAAAAATTCCAATTAAGACTGATTTTAAAAATATCTGCAGTGAACATAATGATTCCACAAAGAGGTCACATACACAGCAGTACAGAAATTTTCCTGGAAAAAAAATTACAATAAAAAGATCCCAACTCAAATTAGTGCTGCTGCATCTGATGCTGATTTAACATTTAAGGAAAGAAAAGAATATTGTCCTTAAACTCCTGGAAACAAAACTCCTAGTAAAGTACAGTTGTTTATCCACCTCTATACACAGCAATAGACTGGTTTACTAGGACTACAAGATTACAGAGGGAGCACTGTGGGATGTGTCACAGGACCAGCGGAGTACAGGTGAGCATGCATAACTTGGGCTTTGGAAGTAGCTATTGAAAGTGACTGTTCTCATCTTAACCAAGCATAATAAATAAAAAAACTACAAAGCAGATTCTCACATTGCTGGAACCTGCAGGAAATTGTGGTTTCAGCAGAAAAATGTTGATTTACAATAGCTGAAGTTCTGTCTTGGAATTCTTACTAAAAAAGCATTGCAGATGGTTAACAAAACATTTTCCACACTGGTTTGTCTTCCGTAATTTGAAGAATTTTTTTCCCCACCCCCCCAACAATAAAACTAAAAAATGCTCAATAAGAGCAATAACATGAGCAATAACAACAAAGCAATTTGCAGATCTTACCTTTCCAAATCCTTAACCTATATTTTAAGTCTGATACCCTTAGAAAAAGCCATCTGTTATTTTTTCTCCTCATAAGATTACCTCCAGTTATACTACTTTAATGCTAGCCACTACATAAAAATAAGTACAAGAAAGCTACAGAAAGAAAATAAAATAAACACAATACTTATAATGACCATACCTAGTAATAAGAACCGCATTATCATGGTGGGCAATCCCATTTTCTGGAATGGTGTTTCCATCACTTTGGTGGGAGAGAATGGATTTCTGCCACTTACAGAAGCTATCGAGGGACTTGTCTGCATGGTGGTTTATCTCCAAGTTTGGCTGCAATACAACATGCATACCAGAAATGTTCCAAACAAATTACTAAGGTCAGTTGTTAAGCCTTCTGAAGACTAAAATGGGACTATAATTAGAAGCAGTGGTTTCTAGGAATAACCTCTTCTTGCCAAATTTTATCTGTGTAAAATCTGACCCACAGTTCAGTTTTATATTACTGAACAAACATTCTTTCTGCTTCAACTTTAATAATGATTATGTCAATACAAAAAAAATAAATCAGAATATCAAGATACAGAGCTAAAAATAAAAGCTGACATCCCTGAAGGTGTTTTAACATTCACCTGAAGTAATGAACAGGTATCTTTGAACTGACATGTGAGGGAATATTCCTTCTCACTGTTTTGACTTAAGGTAGACAGGATTTATTAAAAATGCAGCCATCTTAAGCAATTATTAAATGAAATCTATAATATTATAGAGGAGAGTGCTTTGTATTCCCAAGGATATAAAACTTAAGTGAAACAACTCTTACCTGATCTTCAGTGAGGACAATTAAACGAGTCACTATAATATTCACAACGTTTCCTAGACTGGAATCACGATAAAGTTTGGCAACCTGACCTCCAGAAAATAAGAAAAGACACAAAGTCAGTCAAGAAACACTTTGTTTCATGAGTAAAAATTAATCCATTTTCCCCACTAAATATAGTTTCATAATATATTAATTGTCATTATCACCTGAATAAGAGTTACTTTTGAAACAATAACTGACCACTTAGTAAAATGAAATTCCTGCAACATATTTTTCAATGAAAACTATTTAAATCTTGTTTCCTAATCTATCCATCATAAGGAGCATTTATGTTCTTGATTTCAACAACAAAATAAAACTATATAATCTTTCAGTGTAATCATATGAATTGAATACCAAAGACAATTTAAAAGTGAACACAGGATACGTCTTGACAGAAACAATACTAGTATTGTGGGGAAAAATGTAGGATTTGACATATTTCAAGTACTAATCACTCCAACTGGATGCATACATTAAGGCATTATTCATGTCAGTAAACTTAACGTTTTATAGACATTTATGATTTCAAAATGTCAAAGTTACATGCATGAGAGGGAACGAACAAAGAGAGGGGTCAAACTTACAATATTCATTACACTTAAAATGTAATGTTCAATGTCTTTGCGACCATGGTATCCCACCATCATTTTATCTGCTACTACCAGCGTCTCCACAAACCGTTCCAGGCTTACGGATCTCTTCTGTCGACCGTGGCTGTTTAGCGTGTCATTAACTGGCAGTGTAGTTGGAGAAGCAGATGCATCACTCATCCACCAAGGCTTCCTGCTTCTTGGGAGGTCTTCTAGAAATCAAAACAATTAAACACTTCAGACGGGTCCCTATGAAAACTTGAGCAAATACAGCTGGGTTATGTTGAGATTATAATCCTAAATCTTATGAAAACAAGACTTTCTTGAGACAAGGAAAAAATAAATCTATATGTCAAATTAATTATATATTTTTGATTTTAAAGCAGTACATAATGGGGAAAATATCTTTAAAATAAGACCTCATTCTCAACTTTAAGATGCTGATTTATCCCCTTAAAAAGACATAATTTTACACAGCTATATTAATATTAAAGATCAATTATTAATTAAGTATGAGTACATTTCAGGACTTAAAGATAAGACGACGACTGATACAACATTTGAGAAAACAAATATACCGGCAGCCCAAAGTACAAAACTAAGGTAAAAGGAATCAAAATAAGCTAAGAAATTAAATGTTCTGAAAACAATAAAGAAGTTATTTCCCTGCTATGAAATTATTCAATCATCAGTCAGTTGATTAATGCATAATAATATTTTGCTAAATAACTACTCTTTTTTAAAAAGTAATTAAATATTATTTACTCTTCATTTAGAACTAGAAATTTAATTTTAGAAATCTAATGGGAAGCTTTAAATGGTCTGACACAGTTATAATTTTAGTTTAGAATAAGTTTAGTTATTTTAGTTATTTTTAACTTTCACTTCCATTCAAATATATCCATTCTTGTATTTTCAAAGTTCAAATAGAAGTTTTGCTATCAAAAAAATAACATTTAAATACTGACTGCATATTAAAAATCCATTATCAGCAAAATGACAAGCTTTTTTTGTATTTAAACTCCGCAAAACAAAATTGATTTGGTCACTCCCTCCCTTCCCTCAAAAAACAACCTGACTTCATGTGTAAAAAGTATCCACTTCCCATACAGACCCATACTGATCTCACTCTTCACTTTCCCCTTTCCCCAAGCAGTATCACAAAATATCTGTCCTTGCTAGCTGTGGATGAACAGAACATTAGAAGTTGAACATGTTTTTCAATTGTCTTAATAAGGCATACTCATGGGACTAATGCCAGAGGTATAACCTTATCCCCATGGAAGTCAGTTCAATTCGGAAGCGGCTGAGGGAGGAACAGGACCTCGTGTGAAAAAGGCCAATCTTGATACAATTCACCTAACACCCTGTTTTCAATGGTAAGAAATACAGCACAAAGCAGGGAAGTCCAGGTCAAATTTGGTGTACGAAGCTCCATCATTCCCACTGCATTGTTTTTTCAGAATTTCTAAGTTTACAGTGTTGATTTTAAAAGTTGTATTAGAAAAGTTGAAAAATGAAAATAAAGTAATTGACAAAATGACAACAGAAATCCTCATCATTCCGCAAATCTTAATAAGATGAACCACGTTCTAAAAAATAGTATTGGGTACTAAGGTCTTTTGAGAATTCTGTGATCAATGGCTTTTTCTATGTTTTTCATCTGTGTTCATCTAGGAAACCCAAACTAACTTTAATTGTTCAGAGATTTTAATCTCAACAAAGCAGTGATGTAGGAATGTCAGGACTTTTGTCTTAAAAGAAAAAAATTAAGAACACTTGATCCACATTCAAATAGCAAACGGCAATATGAGGACTTTGGGTACTTTTACAATGCTAGAATTACTTTATAAACACAATATCATTTCCACACATTCATAATTTTCATTTATAAAGAGGTATAAATCTGCTTAACCATTTGAAAAACCAATTAGTCCACACAGAAATCTGAGGCAAATTAAGCGATTTTCCTCCATACTCTGGGTTGGAAAAATCCCTTTAAATTGGCATTAATATTGAACATTAGTATGAGCAAGTTGCAAACAAATACAGTGAAAACTAATATGCAATTTAGTTTTAAATCACAAATGAAAAGAAATCTGGTCTTGCAGACAAGGAGTCTAAAATTATGGCACCCACATTTTCTTAATGCACTCTAATGATGCAGGGAAGGGTGGGAGGAAGAAGTGGGAGAAAAATACAAGAACAAACAAACAAAATCTCACAGTATCAAAGAAAATTACATGTACTAAATACAGCTAGGAGAATCACATGTCAGTTTTAGTATTTTACTAATGTATGTTACTGTACATGCATTTTCTTTAATTTTCATTTTAGAATACATTATAAAATCCGCCAGGAGCAAAATAGCTACACAGCGCAGCATTTAGTGGGGTCATCTCTAAATAATGCAGCCGCCACTTCTCAGGGTTCAAATGCCAACCTGTTCTCAAGCATATCCAAAGCGTGCATACTTGTATTGGGGGGGGGGGAAAAAAGTTCATCCAACTCTACAACTGTCCAATAAGTGGAATTTCTGAATTTCTATTCTGGTCACAAATACAAGAACACAGCCTTTCAATAAAAACAAACAAACAAAAATATTTACGTTTATCCATTATATTTTGCAGTTGCACAACAGAACTTACTTTTCAATCATAACATAATACAGTATTAAGTATCATTCAAAATAAATATTTCTGTAAACTAAACTGTGAAACAAGAATACCATCAAAAGCAGTTCACAAAATCCTTGTTGCAAATATTATAGAAGATTGTGTTTTTTCTCTGAGACAGAAATCCCTTTGGAGGGGAATTTGATGTTAACAACCTCTTAGCAAGGTCTTAATTATTTCAGCTATATTTAATAAAGCAGTTAATCTGGTTGCAACATATGCAAAAATTATTAATTTAATATTTTTTGATTTTAAAACATTCCTCTGTATCTAACTGCTTAAAATCTCATAGTCGTGGGTATCTAAGTTTACAATCAGTTAAACAGCCATTCTAAGTCTCGTAGCACAAGGCAATAGCTAGAAGATCGTTCTGCAATCTTTAGAAGAACAGATACAAAATAATGCTCTTAAGAAGCATGATACAGAAAGTTTGATATTTCCCATGAGCGCAAACAGAGTTAATGGAACCACTCAGGAAAAAAAAAAAAAACAAACTCAAACATGTTTTTTTGGTATAAAATCTGTGTTTTAAGTTCAGTCAGCCAGTGCCAGCAAAAGCTACAACTTCCAAAAGGAGAAGCCGAAGAGGCAACATCAATGAACAATGACATTATTTTAATATTTGCCAATCTGTACTACAGACTGAATCTCATGGAAAAATAACGTCTGGACTGAACTTTTAAGAACAAGTGATTCTTGAGAGCAACAGCATAAACATTAAGCCTGAATCATTTTTCAAATACATGAAAAACATTTTAGTGCTCTAAAAGAATTTGCCAGATAAACTCCAAGAACTACTACTCAAGAAATTAGTTTTTGGCTTAAGTATAAGCAAGTGGAAATCATGTCAGAAGAAGGATATTTGAAAAATGCTTTTGTGGAGGTTAAACTCTGCTTTAAAGCAAAATCATCCCTCAATCAAAATTATATGTGGTCCTTCCGGCAGGACACCTGTAAACTACCTACAGTCTGCTGTCAGGAAACAAAGGTAATCCACTGAAACTCACCAAAAACAAACAAAAAAACCCAGACACAGTATGAAAACACTTAGGCCACCTTAAGCAAGAATGATTTGAAGATGCCCAATCAGTTCCAAATGCATTGGTAATGACAATACTAACATATTTCTAATATATCAAGTTTGCACAAGTGAGATGGAACATTTATTAAATGCCGAGCTGTAATACTTTATTACTTAACTAGTCAAGCCACTAAAGTCCCCAGTCTGGAAACAAGGGGTATCTATAGTGCATGAGGAATGCTTGTGATCATCACATTACTACATTACTATATTAATATGAAAAAATGCATAACTACTTTTCAGAAGGGCTACATGACATCCTCCAGATGAAAATCCCTACACTGCAACCATCTCCACTGAATTTTACATAGCAAATAAAAGGATCTTAAACCACAACTTGTTATAATTTTTATAATTATGGTTTTTATACACATAACTGACATTCATACCTTACCTGAGATTCCACAGTGACCATCATCATAGAGATGTTGTTGGTGCATCGTAGATTTTTTGTAAATAACATGAGGATGACCATTTTCATAATTAAGTTTACTGGAATTTTTTGTTACATTCCTTAAAGGCTCTATAAAATACTCTTCATCTTCGGTAGCAATAACTCCATGCTTAAGAGGAGAAAAAGAAAGAAAATAAAATCTTCAAAAGACAAAATTAAACTTTAAATAGAGTTTTATAAGTTTAATTTACAGTAATATTGGACTATTATTTATTTCTGTGAAGAATTTGACAACACATCACCAGAGCAAAGACTGTAAGAACCAGCCAGTCTCTTCCACTAACGTCAGTGGGAGTAGGAGTAGGTCCCTATACAAAACACAGAAACAGAAGAACATATACAGCCCTACTGTTGCAGTTCTTTCTTTACCAAAATCTTTGGTGGATGTGGTAAGACTGCAAGAGATATTCTCGGTCTATGACAAGCAGTCTGTTCACAAAGATATTCCAGAACTCCATGATTCACACCCATTAAAAACGATACCAAGCCAAAACGGCCTCATTCAAAGGGAGAGCCCTCTGTGTCTCTACGATGGTGTATCAGCAGTTCCCAATACTGTACAGTGGAAAACTGCCTAACTTTTTGTTTTAGAAAATATTATTCAGGGACAATACTCAGTGTTCTACATTCAGATGCTGAATTCCAAAACTGAGCTAAAGTTACTGAAATCAAACTATTAGTAATAACTTAAGCTACACTCTTTAAAAAGCATTTATCCCTTAAAAGGTCTCACCACAGACCTCTGGCAGATCAGAATTGTTGCCGATTACGTACCAGACCAGACCATAACAAATGAACATTTTTCTCCTTATACTGCAGTACAGGATGGTAGATCTCAATTTCGTATTTGTGAATTCAGCTTCTTCCAAACAGGAAGTGGTTCATGGAAGAAACGTCAGATTTCAAACCGAGTATTCAATTTCCTAAATATTTAGCAATTAAAACTGAACTTTAGAAGAAAAATCCAACAAGGCGATCTTTTCAGATATAGATATTGGGGTATGCCAGGGTTATTCCTCCAATACTACACTTCCTAACTGAAAAAATTCTGATATCCGTACAAAGAAATTTCTGAACACAGAATCTTAGTGTAGTCACTATGAGAAAGTGAGAGTAAGTCTGGAAGCATGAAATTCTGCATTTATATCCCGATTTGATGAATTCAATTGATCTAGATCTCACTGAAGTCACTATAAAGACTGTTCAAGTAATAAAAGTAGAAAATATTCTTAACTGTGCATTTTCTTAATTCAATTCAAGATGATTTAGAACTATTCAGCATCTCCTTCTCAACACACACATCTTCAAGAATTAGCATGTTACTTAAGCTCTGCAGTCAATGACGCGTGCTGAAGACCCATCTCAAGGTGCTTCCAAAAGGTTGTGAAATACTCTTACAGAAGCATATATAGATACAGTTGCTTACAGAAGCAACTTATACAGCTGTATATTTCCATTTCCACTGCCTTTTATCTGTAAAGCCAGTCTTATACACGAGTACTTTGTTTCAATGGATTGTATTTCTCCAGTGTGACCTCTAAAATACATGTAACTGTAAAGCACTTGATCCATATCTGCTTTAAATAATCAAAAGCTGTTGAGATTAGAGCTTGCCATTTCACATCTGGTCAAGACTCTCCTCTTACTGATGTTCTATGTAGCAACTGTCCACTGTTCTTCACTTTCAAAACAAATGGATTTCAATAACAACATACAGCCTATAAAATAAAAAGCCTCACAACAGTTCAGGAATAAAGGAAAAAGTTCTCTAGATATATTCCTATACTATAGATTTTGAAAACATAAGAATGAACACTTTTTATTTTTCTTACACATTTCTTATGCATCATGACCATAACAATTCATATTCCTCCTCAGTATCATTATGAACTCAGTTATTTACTAAAGAAAACAGGGTTTGCATTCATATGGACAATGCAGGTACAAAATATCTCTCAAAAAAAAAAAAAAAAGCCTTCTTGTTATTTGAAATCTAAAACGTCACTAAAAATAAATCACTTACTGGTACACTGCTGCTTAAATAGTCTTGCAAGTATAAACCAAACTGTAACTAGATTCGCCAGATGTGTGGAAAGAACCTTGACGGTCTGGACTGCATCCAGTCTAGATGTCAGACATCTGGGTGCAGGCAAATCCTGGCCCATTATAAGCTCTGCTATATTGTTCCCAGGGGAAAAACGTCCTGCAGAGTGGTTCTGGCCAACACCATCTGCTTTTTGCCAAGTCTGAGGAGACAGAAGTATCATCCATATGGCAACCCTGTCTCTAAAACATAGAGGTCTTTACCCAGCGCTGATTACTCTAGGGCACACGACTTCCACGTCTGCACTCACAGCCCAGCAGGTTAGCCAGTCGGACTGCAATGAATAGTTCTCAGAGGTGGCATGACCTCAGTGGGAGGAACTCAATTCAGATGTCATAAACAAAATTAATTGCAACATTAATTCCCTAAATAAATTGTGTATAAGAGAAAAACTACAATGACTCCCTACAAACTACTATCATTGCTCATTTAGGTACTCTCAGAGGAGGCAACCAGAAAGTTACCAACATTTCTTTTTCTTCTGTGCCTAGTCGGTATCTGATCTCATCTACACAAGCTGTATGGCGGCTTAACAAAGCAGAATTTTAGTAACACTTAAATTTATCAGAGGTAAGTTTTAGATTACAGCTGCCACCAGGCAGTCAGAACATGAATGTGATCAGTTTCTGTAACCAGCCAAGTCATTTAACAGTGGAAAGGCACCTGACCTGCCTATCTGCCCTGCATATACAAGTCTAGCATTTTATTGAATGCATTAATTTAGCTTCCAAACAAAGCCATTCTTCCCATATTACGCTACTGTAAGTGATGATATTGAAGCAAAGTGAATAACTTTTTTTTTTTTCCTTAAAAAGCATGCTAAACTCTGAGGCAATTCCTCAATGAAAAACAGCATTTATCTTGAATTCAGATGTTTGTTGTTAGACAGGCTTCCACTGCACCTGGCATTCAGGAGCACCTAGTTAATAGTGTGAATTACACTATTTGCAAATTAGCATTCTAAATTCCAGTTTTGGAATTATGTATTTGAGTTTAAAGGAATTAATTCCTTCAGTTTTGCTTTTACAGTTGATGTCTGCTCCAAAGCACGAGAAATATCACTAAGACACAAGAATTACCAGCGAAAGGTTTGGATAAAAACATCATGAATTTAAGAAGTCAGCTGAATGTCCAAATAGGTTACTACCAGCAATATTCCTAAGACTGTTATCTAAAACAGATTGCTTGAGGCCCTGTGTTGTCCAGTCCCACTACCAACGGCCAACTCCTGCTAACATATACAAGATCTGGATCCATTAGCTTGACACGCTCAGGCAAATCTGTGAATCCATATGGAGTTCCCCTGAATTACCATAATACCCATGGAAACTTCTGAAAAGTCTCTGACTTCTAACAGTGAAGCCAATATCACTACAGCTGGTTCTTTGCTTCTGTACAGTTCCTAATGAAACAGACTGCGTTAGCTTAGTGTATTCTCAAGGATGCAACACCGATCTGGACGGAACAGCACAGCATGCAATCCACTTGCACACTTTAAAACCAGGAACAGCTTTTCAATGATTTTCTGAACATACTGCAAATATGTATTAGTATCAAAATGAACTCCAGAAAGAAAAGATTACTAGTCTTTAATATCACTTCTGATTTTTCCAAATTTTATAGAGCATAAATTTTGCCTAGGAATTAAAAACATTACTCAAAAAATCACATTATATTCAGTTTACAATCTACAAAGGTAGATGCTTTAAGGAAGAATCAGTTCTCAAATTAGCTAGTTTAAGAAGGCTATAAGTTATAAAACTATGAATTTATGAATTATCAAAAGAACATGTAGTTGCCTGGCAAAATAATTCTTCCTTTAACCCAAGAACAACATGTAAGGGTCATTCTTCTAGCTACAATCTACTACTTGGACTTAATCATTTCTGGTTGGAAAACAACATCTGTGCTACCCAGCACAATGTATGGACCGTTACATGCCATGGAAACACTTGGCCTTTTACATAAAGCATTTCTTTGGAGCTATAGTAATCCCAAAATGAGGCTGAACCTCCAAATCACTTCCCCAATAATAAATCACTTTCTATAAATTTGAAAAATACTTCCTGCTACTGGGACTTTCAGCTCAAAATGAGAAAAACTGCTACAGCGGAAAACTTGCTTGAGCATTCAAGAAGACTTCTGACACAGGGAAGTGGGTGGAGAGGGAGAACAGGAAAAAACTGATTTCTGCTTCACTCCTGCTACCAACCAGCCCCAAACTTACCATCTTTAAGATTTATTCTGCTCATATCTAGACAAACCTCCCTCCATGAGGTGAAATTCACTCCTTTGCCAGCCTGCCACTGTTTTTCTTCTTCCCTTCCATATGACATATTCAGCTTAGGCAATGCCTCAGCACTTCTGCCTCAACCTCCTTGCAACTAAGATATAAAGGGCTTTTTTTTAATGGGAAGGACAAACCTGCAACCCATCCACTCGTGGAACATCTGTTGAAGTAAACATGAGCTTGGAAGCTAAAAAGATGGACAAGATCTTCAGTTCCCTCATGTAACTGCTCACAGGATTATAGAGCACTTCCTACAATTTTGGATAATTTATAGCACAATCAGGGCCCAGTCTGCAAGAAGGAGACTATGTTAGTAGCCTGCAATCCTGGGGCACTAGGTAGAAGGAATATAAACAGGGAGGTTGAAACTGGAAATAGTGAGAGGGAAGTGATCTGCCTGCTGCTTAGTTTTATCATAATGACACTGAAAATTCTATCTGCATTAAAACTGATCTAAGGTACTATATGTGTTCTTCAAATTCACCCATTTTACATGAATTCAACCCTAATCTCACCCACCCTGAATAAACTAAACAGATGTAGATCAAGGACTATGCAAAATACGATCAGTAGTCTCTTACAGACCAATAAGGAGACTGGAAAACATATCATGTGCATGATATGTTGATTCATGTTGAGCATGAATCTTCGATATGCTGAATTAGCATCAATTCTAAAACAAGTAATACTTAATGCTCACTGTAAATTGCTTTATTAAGCACAGTCTAACAAGCAGACATATAACAAAAGGCTTGTCAGTAGGAATCATTTTAAAAATAACTGTGATGTATTTATCTGAATAGAGTGGTAGCTCCCATATTTAGTTCTCCAGGAGACCCTGCCAACACTGCACAGCCGAGGAGCTTTCTTGAGTTCAGCTCCCCAGTGCAGCCCTTTAACGGGCCCCAGTTCCTTGAAGGAGCAAGAAGGAGTCTTGTGCCACCCCACTGCTGCTTCTAAAGTATTACGGGAGCCTCACATGCTTCTGACTCGGTCTTCCTAGAAGAGGCAGCGGCCACCTGACACGTGCAGTTCCCAGCAAGAAGCATGGCCATGAGGAAGACAACCAGCAGCATGGTGTGCCCAGGTACCCATGACTGCCTTATCCAGAACAAAGATTCCTGGAAGCAATACATAAAAGCCACCTAAAAACGCTGAAGATAAAGACTTAATTGGGAAACATCACAAGCTAGGGCTAATTTACAAACACTACGTTAATGCATTGACACCTGAACCCACAGAAAGCTTTCCTGCAGTAAAGGAATGAACAAGTGGACAGAAGGACAACTCTCGAAAGCGGTGCTGAAAGCTACCTCATAGTGTAAGGCAGTGAGAAAGTGTTCTTACATGAGAACTGTAAAAATAGAATTTAAGACTGTATTGACTGTATTACGGTGTGTTCATTTACCCTACTAAGCCCCATTAAATTCTTTATCTACTCAAAATGTTAGTCTAGACTTTATCAAGGACATCTCAAACAATCAGGTAATATTGCTAGCTGTCTAGCTCTGATACTGCAGGCTTTTGTTGGCATCCGACAATGTTTTATTCTAGATCACTTGCAAGGATAAAAAGGACATACTTTAGCAGTTTTGCATAATTGTTTCTTTCTCTTACCAATTAGATTTGTCTACATCCAACAAGACAATTGATTGGCATTCTACTATAATAAAAATTTAAAAAATCCACAATATATGCACATATTTTTGCTACAGTAATTAGCAGATTCTTAATTTACTGTTTCCTAATAACGCTACACTATTTTAGTATTTTGTAACACAACAGTTTGGGGGGTTAACATTTTTGCTGCAACAAAAGGAGTTTTTTCACATTTACATATTCCTGCCATGTGATCAAGAGATCAATAGTAAGAGCAGCTCATTAAAAAGAGATGGGAATTTCTAAGCCTGCCTTTAGCTTAAATGCAACTGTTTGACTTGTAATGTACAACAACAAATTTAAAAAAAAAAAAGTTACTTTCTGATGCATGCAAAGGATCCTCTTCCCTCTTTAGAATTGGCAATGACAACCTCTACACCAAGCAATTCTTCTCCTTTGTTATTTACTTGAATTTGATATAGCTCAATTCTCAGAAGCGGGTGTTCAGTTCAATCAATACCTCACTGGAGACCGAGCATCTTAAAGGACCCAGTGTCCCCTCCTCAATCTCGGATGTGTAAAATTTTAGCTATCTGTAACCATCTTGCCACAGATCTAATCTTGCGGACCTGAAGCAGACCCTGTAAACGCTGAACATGTTGCCTACTAAAGGACTAGAGGAGTGGGTCTTAGCACTTACAAGTTTAAGAAAACGATGAATACTTTTCCCCCAGCACCCAGACCCCCAGGAATTCCAAAGACTGAAAGATACACCAATTAAGCCATTCTCCTGTGTTTCAAATGGAAGAAGCACACTATCACACAAGAACATGTAACGTGCACTTACCAGACCATCGCAGTTGCTTAAGGCCACTTTAGTTGTACTATGCTGGTCTTGCAAATATCCTGTGTAGTGACAGTGGTCTAAAAAACTGTGTTTCCATTGAGGTCCATCTTTCCCCCAGTATTCTACTGTAAAATGTCTGGATACCAAATCTGTGTTGAGAGTCAGGTTTAAATGAAAGTGCTTGCCATAGGCAGAAAGTTTAAAAAATAATTTAGATGCTGCCAGTTCTGGATCATAAGGGTCCGTGCTCCTCCTCCTCCTTGAGGGTTTAGGATTTTTCACAGTAAAGCTGAGGAAGGCTCCATTTTGATCAACCCTTATTGGGATTGTTAGTTGGTAGTGTTCAAGGTGAGACAGGAATTCCTCTTTGTAATCACAAGGTAAGACAGTCCAGGGAGTGGGCATAGAAGAGAAGAAAATATAACAGGAAACAACAAGCAGTAGTATAAACATTAACCATATTTGCCTAAATCTCATCATCCTCACAAATGAAAGTCATTTTCAGGTAAATTTAAGATGTAGAGCTTTATAAATAAAACACACTTTCTAAGTCAACAAAATGTGTTCAGTTTCCTATCAACTTGATGATACTGGAAATACCCAAGTTTTAAACTACATATCTTTTCCTGTGTACCAAAATATGTAAACATTTGGGGCTAAATTCTACCTAAGAAGGATGTATTCTTTCCAGTGATACCACTCAAAGCCAAAAGCTATTAGATCCACCTGCAAAAATAAAAACAGTAGGAATGACAAGAAGTACTACTTGTTAAAAACATGTAAATGGCTCTTCATTCCAATAAAAACCTACAAATGTTAATATATCAAAAGTAAGATTAGATCCTTACTTCCTACATTTCAGAAAGCGTTAATGAGGTTCTGGCAAATCTCTGAACTACTAGCCAGTACAACATTTTACTGGATGTAAGGCTTTCTTACAGCTAGAAGTAGAGAGAAATTAGGACAACAATTCAATCAGATTCTCTGTAATCAAGCTTTCATGATAATCATGACAGAATTAAGAGCCTGTATAATGCCATCAATTTCTACAGACATGGCTTAGAAAACATTACCCATATTTAACACAAAAAACATGCTCCTTGCACCTACAGAGGTCAGGCTCCTACCTTGAGAACTATATGAAAGCCTCTTGTCACTGTGAAATTCCGATGAAACGACGACTAAGCTCAAAATCCATGTCCACGCCTTCCAAAAAATTTCCATAATTTAGAAAAACTGAAAGTTTATTTTCTCCTTGGAGGGCTACCTGTGTGCTACAGAGTTAACTCCACGCCAGAATCGCACCATAACAGATAGATTTATATTATTTCCAGATTAGCTATTGGACATTCCACTTTTTGACGGGTATTCTTTTCCAACAATCTATATTTTCTTCTATATCTGCAGTCATTTTCTCAACACAAAAATAAGCATTTGTAAAATTCCTTCAGTTATCTGTAAAACATTAGACTTGGAAGCTACTGAATTTTCTCCATTTCTTTCCCTAAAAAAGAAAAGAAAAATGAGTCAAGGCAAATTCTTTCCATTAAAACAGATCAATACTGCAAAATATTAAGCAACAATGATGAACTACACAACATTTTATAATGATATTTAACCGCTACTACTTTCACGGTCTAAGGTCATGATCTTACCAAAACGAGTACCTTGAAGATGTAGTTCCATACAGCTTGAGATTCATACATACATGTAAAGTTAATAGGTGTAATAATTTACATAATTAAATGTTCAGGTTTCTCAAATACTGTGTTCAGACTTGTTCTAGCCGTAATCAATGCAGTGTATTCATTGATTTCAGCAGTGAATAAGTAAACCTAATACACCGGCAGACAAAGGGAGAACCTGGGAAAAAATCCAGAGCGCAGTTATCTGATCTTTCCGCAGCATGTATTTTGTTATTACTTGGACCTGGGTTTTGCTTATGCAGGCAAAATTCTCATTCACTTAAATGGGAATGCTGCACATTCTAATACCAACGAATGAATTTCAGAATTTATCACAAGGTTTAACTTTTTAATTACACTGTAAATACATTGCAAAAGTGGCTTGTATATCAAAAGCATTGTCTGATGTATTAGAATATATTTTTATTTTTCTTTTGTTTCTCTTCAAGGGGCAATAGGATTAAGTGAACAACATGTTGTGGGTTTGGGTTTTTTTTTTCCATTTAAAGTATTATAGCAGTAATATTACAAGGTAGGCCTAGATCTGGCCAGTGCTTAACCAGAAGGTCTATGCAGCTGCCCAGCAGTTTCTTAACACAGGATACTGTACTAGCTATCCCATCAGCTGGTACTAATCAGTCCTCTTAACTACCAGCACACCTGTGCTTAAAGCAGCATCTCACAGATGTCAAAACAGATCACCTGAGAAGGGCAAACTGAATGGAAAAAAACAGGCAACAGCACACACAGTCATTTACACACGCACTAGATAAGCCCTGCTCACAATTTTAACAAGGTAAATTTACAACATTCGTTCAGACACATAATACCTATACAGTCAGTGGGTTGTTTGTTAAGGTTTTTTTTTAAAAAAAAATGCAGAACTGTTCAAATTATCCAAAAAAAATCAACATGAAATAAATCCTATTTACCAATGTGATGCTGAATATCAGGAAACTTCCATGGCAATCAGAAATGCATCTTGTTATTACTACACACATGAGGTTAATTGGATCATTTCAATATTTGCTTTTTAGGTATCTTTCCAGATAGTATGCAGGATTTAGCTAGGTATGTAGATGATAAATTATATTTTGTAGGTATGGCTTGGGCTTCGTAACATTTTTTTTTTCTCTGAAGAAGCATTTGCTTAGTGATACGATTCACTTACAACAACAAGACCTCAATTAATAGAGATTTTATCAATCTCTAATCTTATCTTTAAATAATGCCTTTATTATCTGGATAATATTTAACTATAGCTTTAAAACAGGTTGCCAATGTTTAATTTCTGAAAAGACATAACCAATCTCATACTCTTCTGCTAATTTAGTCTATTAAAGAATGTGCCTTAATTTCAATTTGAGAATGTCCAGCTTCAAATTCCAGTCACCACATCTTGCTTTACCCGTCTGCTAATGAGGTTAGTTATAATGGATAGCTATAATCTGATACGACCACCTCTTGACTCTCTGATAAGCAACTCAATCTATTCAATCTACCTCACTCTGTACAATACAGTTTCCAGATGTCTAATTATTTCTGCAGCTTTTTTCTCCTGAATCCTTTCCAATTTGTCAGCATCCTTTTTCATGCAGAGACACCAGAGTTGGACAGAGTATTCCAGTAATGGCTCGTTAATGCCATATACAGAGGTAACATTGCCTGACAGCTTTTACTTAGCCAAAAGGAAAAAAATGGAGCTCACGTTACACTGATAATAAATTACCCTAACGTTAAGACCTCCTGAAACTGCAGGACCCGAAGAGGCAAGTAGCTTGGTATGCTGGAAGTCACCACGGTGCCTGTCATCTGGGCATCACTGGCCCAAGTTGAGCCTTAGTCAAGAGTGCCCAAAAGTCATTCGCATCTTCTCTGCATTAAAGAGGGGTAAGAGACATGAGGCACAAAGCGTTTGCACACCTCCACTCATGGGACTTCTAGTAGGATGCTGGGTAGGAAAAAAAAAAAGCTTCCTCTACCTATTCCCTTTCTATACTTACTTTCTAGTTTTACTGATCGATGTGCAGCATTTCAGTTTTGATTACAGTCCAGATCGCACCTTTTATCAGCACTTATGATAAGAGGCATCTTCCCATGCCCAGTTTCAGAGACACGTGTTTATCAAAGGTAACACAGCTATGTTCTTGTTTGCTCACCATTTACCTAAAGCCACAGCTCCTGCCTCATTCTGCTGGAGCAGCAAAGGGAAACTATGATCCGCTTCAAAACCCAGAAGGTGCATGGCAAGAACAGCGCCCTGCACTGGGGGTACAGTGACAGAGCACACTCACTCAACAGCAAGAGGGGAGGAAAGGGCCATAACTTGAGCAAAACTGAAGTTTTGAGGAATGGACTATTTGGTGGCAGCAGCTCACCCAACTGAGCTGCTCAGACCATCCACTCTGATACCCTCCACACAACTAAGGGATGCTGGCTGAGGGAATACTTAAGTTTCAAGGCAGGAGAGAAGTTTCATATTAACCGTTATCGGGACAAATAACCCCCACCAGGTGCGGCAACAGCGGTGGCAGTGGGGCTGCTCCCCTCCCTTCCCCCGCCACAGCGGCGCAAACGCCCTGGCCCAACGGCCGCCGCCAACGGCCGCCCCGCGCGGCGGCCCCTCAGCAGCCCCCGCTCAACGGCCGCGAGCGGAGCGGAGCCGCCGCCGCCGCCGCGCTGGGCTGCACAAATGAACTGCGGGCCGGGGGCGCCGCTAACCAGCCCCTCCAGCCGAGGGGCGCGCTCCGGCGGCGCCGCGGCCATGGCGAGCAGGGGCCGCCGGCCGCGCCTGCGGGGTGCCCGCCGCCTTCCCGCCTCCCGCCGCCGCCCCTGGCGGGAGGGCGGGCGCGGAGCGGGAGCGCGGCCAGGGGCGGCCGTACGAGGGGTTGCTAAGGAAATGCGGAGGGAGGGGCGGCCGGGGAGGGCGCGCGAGTCAGTCACAACAAGCGCAGCCCCAGGTAGCGCGGCCGCCGGGGCCGGCGGAGCCCCCGGGCCACGCAGGCGGCGGGCGGCTCGCTGCGAGAGGGACGGGGTCGGGGGAGCGAGCACAAAGGGCGAGGACGGCGCTTTCCTGCCGCGTTGTTCGTCGGAAAGCGGAGCGTAAAGAAAGGGAAGAAAGGAAGGGATTTAAAAAAAAAAAAAAAAAAGTGCTGCCGTGTGTGCCACAAGGCACAGCCGCGGCCGGCTCCCCCGGGGCACGGGGCTGTGTGAGCAGCCTTCCCCCTCCGTCTGCCCCACTCCATGCAGCCCTGCCGAGGGATCAGCTGTCATTGTGCTTCTAGAAACGAAGAATAAAGAGGAAAAAAAAACCAAGAGGCTGGAAGCATCTCTCTACCCCCGCAGCCCAACACGTATGCACGCTTGTGTCCCGGGCGCGCAGACGTGTGTGTGCGCGCACACCGGGACGGCAACAACAACAAAAAGGGACCCTCAGCGGGAAACACCAGCACTGGAGCAAGCTGGAGGTCACCAGACACACATCGTACTCAGAAAATTCAGAGGGAGGGAGGAATAAAGAGAGAAGGGAGAAAAAAAAAAAAAAAAAAAAAAAAAAAAAAGAGTCCTCCTCCCTAGAGAGGCTGCAGGGAAGAGTCTGGTTGCTGTGGTGGAGTTGATCCTAAAGTTAACTTTCAGCAGCCCATTTCCAGACAGCAGCGCTGAATCTATTTGGATAAAACGCGTGTGACCCAGACACTTGGCGCTTGGCCCAAACGCGTTGCACCGGCAGCCCAAATAAAAACGCTCTCTCGTACAACAATGAAAGAAATCAGCGAAGAGCAGGAAGAAAAGGGAGAGGGGAAAAAAAAGAAAAAAAAAAAGAAAAGAAAAAAAGGGGGGGGAGAAAAAAGGCAAGAAGCGAGGCCGCCGCCGGGCAGCGAGAGCCCACTTACCTCCCCCCGCCGCCGCGGGCGCGCCGATAAACAGGGCTCGGCGGGGTTAAGAGTCTAGCAAACCCCAAGCGGCTCCGAGTAAATCAAAACCACACGCTCCCATCTTCCCGAGGAGCCCGGCCAGCGCTCGGCATCTCCGCGAGCATCGCGGCGGCGGCCGCCTCGGCTCCGCGCGGACCCTCTGAGTTCAGGCACAAAATATGCACTTGTCCGACCGCCGGGGCGGCCGCTGGACATGACACGGGCGAGCGCCGCGCTCGGCCCCACGTACGGCGCTCCGCAAAGCTGCGGGGCGCTCCTGCGCCTTGCACCTACTTTTTATTTTTTTTTTTTCGCTCTGCCAACGACTTACCATTTTTTTTTTTAAAGTAACTCTAAAAAATAAAGAGTTGCACTGCTCAAGAGCGTACTTCACAAATCACTTTTTGGTGGAAAATACTCGCACCCCCTTCCCCCATCCTCAAAGGTTTCGCTCTGAAATTACTCCAAATCCACCTCGCCTAAATGCAATATAAAGTTCCCCCCGCACCCCAAAGCTCTGCAACGCACCATTACTCGGGACACGAGAAAAGCAAAAGTTTCATTGAATAGCGTGAAAACTTCCTTACCGTTCTCATCTTCAATTTCTGATACAAAGTAAGTTTCAAACAATAGGGATTGCACAGGACGATTCCCGTATTCCTCTCTGCTTTTCCCCTCTGTGCAAGCAACCATCAGGGTTATATTCTCCAACAGCATAAAATTCTCTAGCCTTCCTAAAAGGGGTGGGGGGGGTGGAGGGGGGGT